TCTCTCAATTTGAGGCCAGCCTGGTCTACAAAGCTCCAGGACAGCCAGGGCTGCATTGAAACCCTGCCTCGAAAAAGAAAAACAAACAAAACACACACGTGCAAGTGTTGTCTGTCTCCTGTTATAACTAGGACCTAAAATTCAGGGTGTGTGTGTGTGTCTACTGTAGCTACTAAAGCATCAGATATCTTTTAACACAAGTGGTGGTTGGACACTGTTTGGAAACAGGTTGCTATTGGAAAAGAGCTAGCCATGGAAGCAGATGCAGAAATCCACACCAAGCATTGGGTCAAACTCCTGAAGTACAATCAAAGTGAGGAAGTAGCAATAATATGAACAAAAGAGTCAAGACCATGATGGGAAACCCACAGAATCAACTGACCCAAGCCAGTGAGAGATCACTGACTCAGGTCTGACAAATGGGAAACCTGAATAAGACCGAACTAGATTCCCTTAATATAGGTGACAGTGGTGTGACTGGGACAATATATGAGGCCACTGGCAGTGGGTCCAAGACCTAACACTAATGCACAAACTGACTTTGTGGAGCCCATTCTATATGGAGAGATACCTTGCCCAGCCTAGACACAAAGATATCTGTACACCTGTATTCACCACAGCCCTGTTCACAATAGCCAAGGCAGAGAATCAACCTGAGTGTCTGTCCATCTGTGACTGAGTAGGCCAGCCACTGATCTACCTGTAAAAGGCATCTGGCATGTATGTCCAACATAATCCTAGTAGACCTTGAATAGGCAAATTTGCCATAAGCAACAACCTAGGTATTGTGTTAAATGAAACAAATGAGGCACAGAGCTGGGCGGTGGGGATGCAGGTGAATCTCTGTGAGTTCAAGTCTAGTCTGATCTACAGAGCAAGTTCCAGGACAGCCAAGGCTACACAGAGAAACCCTGTCTCGGTGGGATGGGGGACTCACAGAAACAAAAGGAACGTGCTCATATGTGAACTCCAAAGTCATTGAACTCAACTAAAGCAGTGAGTGGAGGCGAGCTGTTTCAATCAGGGGCACAGAGACTGGTGTCCGGGCTTCAGCAGCATCCTTCAGTGGCCATGGGAGAGCAGAGAAAACAGAAAAAAGTCTTCCTGCAAGTCTGTGTGGGCGGGCAGAGGACACAGTATTCAGGAAACTTATCAGTGGAGGAAACCCCAGAGCAGCTGCTGCCTTCATGGAAAGTCAGGGTGGTCCCAGAACCAAGGCTATGGGAGAACTATCTGGGGGCCAGGAGTCGGGAGCTAACAGTAGGACACTTCACCCCAGCAGTGAGAGCAGAGGCCAGGCCCTTGCCGAGGGCAGGCACTAAGGGGGCACCTCCACAACCGCAGCCCAATCCCACCACATGCAGCAACCAGCCTTGCTAGCAGCAGCTTAATGGCCACAGGCAGGCAAGACCATCTGGATAGAAAGAGGGCGTATGAGAAAGTTCAGTTCAGGTTAGCTATAAACAATTAAACCGTCTTGCTGGGCATTCTCCACACTGCATACGCGCCCTGGAACACTGAGGGACAACAGCTTTGGAGTCTGACAAACCTAGTTCCAGGCCAGACACCCTCATGACTGCAAGGCCAATCAAAACTTGACATTCCCCCGGGATCAAGTAGAGAGGGAATTCAGTGCAGCCACAAGGAATAGGGCCTGGGACCTCTTGTCACCCTCCATTAGCTGCTGCTCTGCAGTTTGCAAGCGCACAGAAGGGAGAGTCATTTCTGGTCAACCACGAGGTCTATAAAGAAGAGGTGGGTGCTGCCTGAGGCGTGGAACTCAGGCCAAAGAGTGAGCAAGCTGGGTGGGGAGGCGGCAGGCAGCTTCTTCCTTGCTGCTCTTAGAAACGCCAAACTTGGTTTGAAATGACTTTTCTTCCTTATAAAATCCCCCTTGTTTTAGGTGTGCCTCCACAGGCTCTCTTCTCAGGATGGCTGCCAAGTTTCAAAACCATCTTTGGAAACCATTCAAGTTTGGGTATTTCTTTTTTCCATACTAAAATTGCACATGCCCAAGACTAGCAGGTGCCCCCATTAAGATACTTCTCATTTTCACCTCTCTCTTGGCTCAACATGAGATTTTGAATATTCTAAAAAGCCAGAGGTGTCTCTTCCTTTTTTAAAGCAGGAAGGTGACAGTTATCTTTGAAATGTTGAAAGTGAGTGAAAATCTGAGAAGAGGGATTGTCCCTGGGACTGAGCTTGGAGTTTATGTTATATACCCTGTACTAGTTTAATTTGCTTCAATAAGTTTTTGTGAATATTTAGAAAGCAGGCAGAGGCCAGGCAGTGGTGGCACATGCCTTTAATCCCAGCACTCAGGAGGTAGATCTCTATGAGTTCGAGGCCAGCCCAGTCTACAGATTGAGTTCCAGGACAGCCAAAGATACACAGAAAAAAACCTGTCTTGAAAAACCAAAACCAACCAAACAAACAAAGAGCAGGCAGAATCTCAGTTCTTCCCCTGAAACTTATGACTCAGGAAAACCTGCACATGGGAGAATTGTGTGTTGTGTGTGTGTCAGGAAAAGCCCCCAAGCTAGCCAATCTCCCCAACCCTTAGATGAACACTCTCCTTGTGGCTTTGTCCTGTGATAAGGAACAAGCCGGGCTAAGAACCAAAAGCCCAATTTCTGGATCCATGTTGGAGTGTTAAGAAGTCCCAGGAGAAGGATGGGAGCCTGGCCTGGCGGGTGAGAAGATCCAGGCAACCCTCCCCTAATCACTCAGCAGTGTGAATTCAGGAACAACTCCAGAGCTGATGCCCCAGAAAGAGGCGAAGCAGGCAACAGTTGGGGGAAAAGGTGTGTATTCTCTAGAGGTGCTTTTAGAGGGAAAAGAGCAACTTACTTGGCAAAAAGGAAGGACTGGTCTATAATGATAGCCCTACAGACCAGGAACTAACTGTAAATTTTTTTCACATCTATAAAAAAGCACAGACTGCTGGTCAGAATGTCCCCTGGCCATTGATTTTCCCACTGAACCATTCTGGGCATAAGGCTAAACTGCATCTCTAGCCTGCAACAAACAGAGCCCCAGACTCCATCAACAGGGGATTCTGGAGTGCTGAATAGAATGTGACACCCTCCTATGGGGCCAGCTGCTTAGGAACTAGTCATCTGTTCCTTGATTGTGAAGTGTGCCTATCCAGGAAGTACAGTCTGCCCCACCATAAGGGCAATCTCAAGTTCATGTATGTTTACACAAGCTGGATACATTAAGGCTCTAGAAACCTTGCGGGTTTCCAGAAGGAAGTTCCTGCAGGCTGGTCCACCTTCTGATGCTGCTCAATTTTTCTTAAGCCAAAGTCAACTCCATGTGCCCACCCACATGGAGAGTCTTTGCGCTGTATTAACTGGAAGGGTATTGCGCACTTCTGAGTCTTTCATTCTTTAGGTTTTGATCCGAGTGTGTGTGTGATGTAGTCAATTCTCCTCTCTTAGTTTACCTCTTCTTGTCAGAGCCTTAATCTTCCAGCCATCTCTGGAAAGACAGCCTGACCTAGGAGGAGGTGGCCGCCAGGTGCCTTTGACTCTCAGTACAACTAAGGCATTGCAGAGATGCCCAAAATTCACAAACATGCCGCAGGCCCACAGTGTCTGCCCTGCCTTCCTTTTGCTCCAGGGGTTCAGGCCATTTGTCTCTCAGACATCTGCGGCTGGAAGGAAATAGTCTGAAAGCTAATAGTCAACGCCAGCCACCATCACCACCCCAGCGGCCAGGAAAGCCTGCGAGAGAAGATTCCTGAGCTGGATCCAGAAAGAGGAGCAAGAGCTGGTTCAGGAGCCGAGGTTTGGCCAGAGCCAGGTAAAAGCTCAGCAGAGAGCGTGGGAATTGTCCACCCATTATCCCTCGTAGGCTGGAGATCACCTGGCCCCTCTTATCCTCAAGACCAGGGCCTGGCGCTTGCTGCGGCACTCACATAATATTGTTAAAGTCACCTGGTGCTTGTCCATGTGTCTTAGAGACCACAGACCATTGCTAACACAAAAAGGAGCCCTAAGTGTCAAAGCATCTGTCTATCCAACCAAAAGACACTATGACTCCCTCCTTTTTTTTTCATCTTGACCCATATAAGTCCCCTGTGGTACAAGAAGTCTTCCACAATCTGACCTACCATAGTAGCCCAGGGCGCTACCCAACTCTACCTACTCCATCTCTGCACAGCCTTCTCTCCTTCCTCCCCCAGCTGACTAGACATCTTTCATGGGACTTTGGCATGGTGCGACGTATTGTGGCCGTCACCTCTGGGGTCAGGCACAGTATTTTTCACGTCCTTGTGGTTTAGATCACACCCCAGTGAAGTACCTGTGTCTAATGGTGACCTGGCCTCCTGCAAGTGTGACACAATCCCTTTCTCCTCCAGTCAGATTCTCCCCATGCCATGCCTTGCTCCAGCTGATGTGTAGCACTCTGTGTCTAAGCACTTTGCTAAGTACCCACCAGGGGCTAGCTGTGCCCCCCACATAATCTGACAGTGACGCAAGGCCAGCTTGGTACAGATGACTTCTGGAGCGTGTCCTCAGGCAGCTCTGTATCCACCCACCTCACATACAGACAGCAGACTCAGAGACATTTAATGGCAGCAAGTTCAAGATAGCATTGCTGATAGATGTGAGAGAAAGGAGTCAAACCCAGGTTCGGCTGTCCCTAAGGCTTTGCCTTTCGTTTTATGGCCCCTTTCCCAGCCACAGTTACATGAAAGCAGGAAGATCTGCATTTGATGGAGTTATTGCTGACTCTAAAAGTTAACGTTCAACCCTGGACAGTGGTTTTTCCCTGCATAAGAGTTTCCTTCTCTAAGCATTGAAGTCAACACAGAACAACTCTCAGGGCTAGACATTTACAAGTCCCTGCAACAAGTCACCTAATCCTCTGACTTCTTGAAGAGCTGGTTTATTAACCAGTTGGGAGGGGCGGTCTTCTAGGCTGGGATGTCTCGCCTTTGGGGGAACGCCTCTCTGCCTCTCTATAAATGTCTTCAGAGGCCAGAAGAAGGCCTTTTGTGACACCGCTCCCTTCCTAACTGTGAGACTCCAGCTACTTCACCATGAGACTCCTAGTCCTTTGCAGTCTGCTCTGCGTGCTGCTCCTCTGCTTCTGCACTCTCTCCTCAGAAGGTAAGGCTGCCTGCCCTCTGGGCTCTGGTCCTTGAGGAATGAGTCCACTGTCTGGGGAGATCGCAAACAGAAGCTGGTAGGGAGCAGGTCCCAGCAGATAACCCAGAACACCGGAAAGATCCACGAAGATATTCTCTCCACCACAGTGTCCAACAAGGAGCTTGGGGACTTCAGGCTTTCTAACTTCTATGTGCAGTTCTACAGTCCCAAACATGCTGAGGACCTACTGTACAAACTGAGCGTTTGGGCAAGAGGTGCATAAACTAAGGGCTTTGATACCAGGTGTATAAACTGAAGGGTTTGACTCCACAAGTATAAACGGACATGACCGCTCCAAGGTATGGTTGAAAGGGAGGTTTTTATGGTGTATATAGGGTAAGTATAGCCAGAGTCATCTGGAAGAGTCTAGAGCAGAGAGAGGAAGTGGTCAACTGAACATGAGAATGGACTTGGTCATGAGAGGAGATGGGGAGGGAGAAAGGGAGAGAGGAAGACAGAGGCTGAAATGGCAGCGTTATGTGGAAATGAGACGCTGGGGAAGGGAAGCCCATGAGCTGGAGGAGTTTAAGGTAGGGGGCAGGGTGGGAAGAGCTGAGAACAGCCAGAGGTGGTAGTTATACTGAGAGAGCCTGGAGGCCAGTGTGTGCTTAGGTGTGCTAACAGGCACCACCCAGGCACCATCGACAGTCAATCCTACCTTCTGAAAGTAATAAGGAAATGGCTCCTTTGCTTGAGGAAAACATGCACCAGAACTTGGGGAATTGGGGGTTTCCTCTGTTACCTGACACCTATCCTAAGCTGCATGGTCACCATGCAGACACAGATCCTCCAGACAGCTACTTACTTGAGGCTTGACTGGGAACTCAGGTGACCTCTATTGCCATTTGTGCTGTGTTGGGGACAAAGTAAATGAACAACTGCCTGTCTGAACTTGAGTGTCTCAAATCCTTATGCACAGAAAGCTCCAGGGGCAGATGAAATGAGGTCATGTGTGGTAAGGGGATATGTGTGTGTCATGCTGGTGTGTGTTCAGAAGTGGGGAACATCCATGGTCGTTTTGTCCCTGTAGAGATGGATATTTATATCCGCTGCCTTTAAGATTATTTTACTTATGTGTCTGTGTGTGGCTATGCCACATGTGTACAGATGCCCTCAAGGGCCAAAAGAGGGTGCTGGATTCCCTGGTGTTGGAGTTACAGGAGGTTGTGAGCCACTCAATGAGTTCTTGGAACCAAATTTGGGTTTGGTAATATTTTGTTTATGATCTAATAACGTTTGCCTGAAGATCAGAATGCAAAGCTAGCCACAACCATAGAAGTGGTACACACCTTTAATCCCAGGAGCCACACTAGTCAGCCATGGAAGCTGGGGTGGTGGTGGCGTATACCTAAAATCCCAGCACTAGAGAGGAATCTAAGGCAGGAGCTCAGTAGGTATTCAGACTGCAGTCACATTGAAGACAGGATCGCCCCAGCCTTGGTAGAGGTAAAAACTCTCTAGTAGTTGACTGCTTTGATTTTCTGATCTTCAGCTTGAGCCCTAGTATCTGTCTCTGGGTTTTTATTATTTGTGTTACATTTGGGTCCTCTGGAAGAGCAGTGAGAGCTCCTAAAGTCTGTGTCACCTCCCCATCCCCTTATCGTGTTTCTTCATTCCAAAAGCTGAGTGTTGGAGCCTTTTCCTCTCACTGAACCTCCAATTAATTTTTTATATCAACTTTTTTTCTTTTTTTAAAAAGACCCTCACCCTATTAACTAATCACCCAAAATCCTGACGGTTGACCTCAGGCCTGTACAGCTGAGTAGCAGGGTTACAGGAAGCACTTGGTTTTTTGTTTTTTGTTTTTTTGTTTTGGTTGTTTGACTGGTTTTTGTTGTTCAAGTTTCTTCAGTGAATATGATAGATTCTTCAGCATAGCCCACAGAGAGCCATTTATCAGACTTCTGTTTTTAGATGATTTCAAGGTCACCAATACGATTCTAATGAAAAGTCAAAAGCTTCCCTCATGTAGGACTGTATCTGGCACCTTTAGGCTCTGGCATTACACAAAAGACATGTGTGTCTATGACTTACCAACTTATGAGTGCTCATCCACGAATTCATGTGCTTGAACACACTATATTAAGCATATAGTCACAAAAGCCTTGTGTATATAAACTGTTTCCTGTATTTAGGATGTTTTTCTTAGACTACAGATATGGATTGCCAAGTCAGAATTAATGTCTAAGAGCAAAGACATTTCTCCCCAATGCTGTGCTTTTCAAAACAGCATTATGAAGAGGAAACATTCCCAAGGCACAGTGACCTCCAGCATTGTCTTTGTCTCTGGAAAGTCACACAGCACAGGCTACTTCTTCTCTCTTAGCCAACTTCATCCTGTTTTTTTGTTTGTTTTATTTCTCAATATACAGTTTATCTGAGAAACCCTGGCTATTTTCACTCTGTAGACCAGTGTGACTGCGAACTCAGAGATCTACCTACCTTTGCCTCCCCAGTGCTGGGACTAAAGGAATGTATCACCACTGCCCAGCTTTTAACAAATGTTTTTGAACTCTGGGTCTTGTGATTTGAAGCCCTCCTAAGTCCTCCCTGTCCAGATTGGCCCAATGGTGGCCTTGGCCCACTAATTGGAGTATCTGTACCCTTTTACTTCTCAGGGAGAAAGCATCATGTGAAGCTCTCAAAATTCAGGCCCTGCTGTAACCTGATTCATAGATTCAAACTGGCAACCCAAAAAGGTAAGTGACCTCATCCTGTCTGGGCTGGGAGTGGGGAGATTTCTATGGTGGCCATGGGAAAGGTCAGATTTGTGATCAGTCCCAGCCAGTGTCTTGTGTGAAGTTCTCAGAGGAAACGTTCATTTTCAGGCACACAGAGTTTAGAGTCCTCTGAAGAGGCAACAACTCAGCCACTTAAAACTGAACATTGTCTGCAAGAAAGAGCTCTTAAGAATGGTACAGGGACCAGGCATGATGGCACATAGCAATCCCAGAATTCGAGAAGCTAACACAAGATAATGGTGAATCTCGAGACCAGCAAGGGCTACACGGATTCAAGGCTCAAGGGCTGGGGACGTGGCTCAGTCTGTGGAACAGTGCTTGCCTAGAAAGCTCAGGTTCCTGGGTTCAATCCCCATTGGAAGAAGAAGAGAAGAGAGGTGTGGGGAAGTAACCATTCCTAGATGGGAGGCTTCATGGGAAAGATGGGGAACCTGAATGCAGATGGCGAAGAAGAGAGGAACAGAGACAGGGGGGCTGCAGGATGGGAGTTGCCCAGAGAATCCGGAATCTATGGTCCACCTGCAGACCTGAAGCAGGACCTGCGTAGGTGTGAGGAATGTGGGGGTGCAGAGAGCTCCAGCTTGGTAGGAGACAAGACAGCACCCAGAGATGCAGACAGGTATACTGAGCCTCGGTCTTGACACCAGCCTGGCCATAGTCATCATGTGACCCAAGAGAGCCAAGCTGCCCTCTCCCAGACCTGGGAGACCCAGCAGTGTGTAGTGATGAAGACAGGCCCAGGTCCAGACCGCTAAGCATGCAGATCCCAGCCTGGGACTCCAGGTGAGCAGCAGGCTGAAACTCTGCCCTGCTGGGTAGGCAGTTAGGACAGTGGATCTTTGTAACTTTTATACTGAGAGTCCTGGAGCTCAGAGCAGCAGGCAGAGGCATGTGGGAAGGTTGAGCTCAGACCAGACATGGCCCGACTTTAACTTAGGGCCTGCGTCTCGGCTCTCTGCTGCTTCAGTGCCAATTCTTGGCAGTCCAAGGCTATGACTCCCTGTGTTATTGAAGGCTGTGGCACCTGAAGCCCATGACCAGCAACTAAGAGTCCTGTCTTGCAAGGACTGTGTTTTCTAAGGGCTTCCTGTCTTCTGTGAATGAAGAGGGAGACAGCATAAGGAAGACAGGATAGTTTCAACCTCTGTACCCCTGAGAGGCTGACAGCCCCTCCTCCACACTGCCATCACACCCAGTCAGGGCTGGGTAAAAATAACCACTTCTCACACATACCTCGTGAATAACCAAGTGTGTGAAAAACCAAGTGTGAGGCACCCGCCTAGGCAAGGTGGAGGGTGAGCACTGGCTGCCAGCCAGTAGCTCTGCTTCCCACAGGGACTTGTGAAATAAGGTGCAAATGTCGGGGAGAGGGACTCCAGCTCCCCACTGACGGTGGCTTGCTGGAACCTGTCCTCGCCTCCAGCCCCTCCCTGCACAGATGCCCAGAGGCAGAAGAGAAAAGAGAAACTTGAGGGAAGGAGGGGCGCACACATGCACACACACACACACACACACACACACACACACTACACATACACACACACAACCATACAGACACACACACACACACTACACATACCCCCCCACAAACATACAGATGCATATGCAAATACATACATGCAAAAACTTGCATACCACATAATTATACACTACACACACAAAATTATACATACCACATCATATGCGCAACATACACATGCACATACACATATCACACATCTAGGATCACAGACATACAAATACACATTAGTACACCACCTTCTACATATATAGACACAAATGCTATACACTTATAGACATGTAAATACATACACATACACACGCATATGTATATAACCACATACAGGTATGTATACCACATGCATACAAACATATGCCTACGTGTCACTCACAGACTTAGGCACATAAATGTACATACAGACTATGTATAGAGAAGCATATATAAACCCATTCATCACACTCTACACACAGCTCCTAGAACACGGCCAGGTACACTCCTCATGTCCAATACAAAAGCAACCTTTTGTCGAACACATAATACTATGACAGAATGAGCTAAGTCATGGATTCTATATTGATACTGGATTTCCATTTGAACATATATTTTAAAAATTCCACGGCAGAACAAGAAGACTTGAGCAGGCATCCTTACTGGACCTACTCCAGGGAGATCTTGTCACAGTTACCTAGACTGGTGAGCTGAGTCTCAGAGGAACCAAAGGCAGAGCCACACACCGGGTCCGTGTGTCTCTTGCACTGTAACAGAAAGGGGAGTTTTCTGTAGAATGTGAGCACGAAACCTCCTGGAAGGACAGGGCCTTCAGGGAGGGGCTCTCAGCTCCACAGCCTGCTGGCTTTGTGCTCCTGAGCAATGTCCTCCTCTGTAGAAAGTGTGTGGCTGCAGGAGCCAGCTTGCTACTATTGAGAAGTCGAGGGGTTATGTCCACAGAGCACACGGCATCAGGTCAAGCCCATGGCACCCTTTAAACCTATCTCACCATCACAACGGAAGAGGCTGCGCTTCCAGGACAGCAGCACCCACCGCAGAGCCCATGTGTACTGTGCATATTTGTGGATGGAATTACATGGCACATAGGAGTTATACACATAGCATTTGTATATGCACCCGTGTGTGTGTGTGTGTGTGTGTGTGTGTGTGCGTGCACGTGCACACACATGTCTCTTTCCTCCAGCTTCTCTTTTTCTCCTGACTCTTCACTGCTGCTGATTACCCAATACTAACCCAGAGAACCTGTTTGCCCACACTTGCTGCTTCCATCCAGCATCTCCCAGGACAGACCCTAAGATGCAGAGAGAAGAGAAGATGAATCAGGGTGTTGGGTAATCAACAGCAGGACTTCAGGGTGTCTCATGTTCCTGTAATCCAGTCTCCTGAGCCTGCTTCCCCTTTCTATGAGAAAGGAAACTAATGGCAGCTGAGACAATAGAGGCACTTAGAGAGGCTGCAGCTCATCCTAAAACCTTTCCTGGGCTTTTCTTTGTGTCTACATGCTGGGCTTGGCCCACAGAATGACCAAGTGTTCAAGGCTTGGGATTCTGGGGGGTAGTAACAAAACATCTTTGAAAGTTAACTGGATAACTGAATAGCAGTCTGGCTGAAGTGACTGCAATGACCATTTACTAGAAGGACATGGGACAGAGTTTTCTTAAAGCAGTTTTACAAACTGGAGAGTTGGTGGGAGATGTCATTTTGTAAATCTGTCTCTTATTGGTTGTTGAATAAAGCACTGTTGGCCAATAGGGAAGCAAAATAGGTGGGACTAGGAGTCGAGGATGATTCTGGGAAAGAGAGACACAGGGAGACACCATGTAGGCGCCAGAGGAGTAAGAGGTCTGGACCCTTTTCCCTGGTAAGAGAAATACTTAGATTAACAACTATGGGTTAAATACTTAAGCCAGAGCTATCCAGTAAGACACAAGCAAATGGTCAACAGCTTTATAATTAATACAGTGTCCTGTGTGCTATTTGGGGGTTCAGACAGCACGGCAGGTCCCAGGCAACTGGCAAAGAAAACACACCCTACAGGAGAGTGATCTACATAGCCACGCTTGATTTCTTTAAACATGTGTAAGAATGAGTCTTAATTGTGTCTTCCTCCTTCTCTTCACCCTGTTCTACCTACTTCACTTTGCCTTTTCATGCCCCTTCTTCTCTGTTGTCACCCATCCCCAGGACAGCACACAAGGCCCTGCAGATCATGCAGAATCAAGCCACCATCCAAGCCATGGGTGGTACCTGGTGCTCTCCCACAGGTGTAGAGCTCCTGAAGCCTGGCTCCACCCAGATGAGACCTTCATGCCCAGCTGTGGAGACACCAGAGGCCTTGAGTTGGTCCCTGCCAACTTTCATGGCAAGAGTGAACTGTCACACTGGGAGTCTTCATTCCAGACATCCAGGAACATTCCAGAATTCCAAGTCCTGGTTCCAACTTTACCACCAACCTTCAAAGTCTCTATGATCCGGGCCCAGCCCACATGTCTTCATGGCTCCTGCAGAGTGAAAGTCAAAGATTCCTCCTGTGGAAACTACAACTCCAGAGATTTCCATGCTGGTCAGAATGCCCAGCAGCAGGACCTCAGTGTGATCAGCCAGGACTATAGCAACTCAGGCACCCACAGATAGCCCAAATTTCTAGCATCTAACCAGTGGTTTCTGAACCAACTCCTGTACATTCCTAGTGCCCATCACCAGGAAAGCACCAAAAATAATAAACAACAAATTGTCACACACTATGCGTGGAACATCCTTGTCTGAGAGAGTAATGTGGCCTGAAATACAAAAGGAAATATAAAAGGAAAGTGTCTTGGAAAACATGCTGGCTACTTCATCACAGAATAATCTGACAGGAAGAAAGTGACAGTAGTTAGGTGTTTGGGTCCCACACACCAGGACACAGAGCCTAGTTTTGCCCAGGTTTCTCTGTAACCTTGACAGTTCAATTTTGTGTAAAATAGAAATGTCAGGAAGGGTCTACTTAGGAGCAAGCAGATGGGCAGGGCTCCTGCAAAGTGCTAGGCTTAGAAAGGACCAGAAAATGCCCCATCCTGGAGCAGGGTTCATCTCCACAGCGAGCAGACAGCTCAGAGGAGACAGGTGGCTCAGGCCTAAGAGGCTTGCCTCAGTAAAGCTGCCTCTAATCGGATCCTCCCAGCAAGGTGAGAAGCTCCCTTTCCTGTATGACTCCTGGGCCTGAGTGAGAATAGCAGGGCCATCTGGTGTGAGGCTGATAGGTGGGGCTTCCACGGCGACCACCATGCCCAGGCAAATCAGAGCCTGTGTCATGTCATGAGCCAACTTTCTACATCCCTTTCATAACTGTTCACTCACTCACTGTTCATTCCCTCCTCCACTTACCCATTCCCAGGGAGAACAGTGGTCAGACTCTGCACTGGGTCCCAAGGACCAAGGAACATAATCCTCTGACATCAGAGAGGCTGCCATTGCTGCATTGTAAGCCCAAGGTGAAGAACTGAGGGTCACATGTGTAAGAAGAGTAAAGTAAAGAGGACAAGTAGCTGAGGCATGGACTCAGAGAGAGAGAGAGAGAGAGAGAGAGAGAGAGAGAGAGAGAGAGAGAGAGAGAGAGAGAGAGAGAGAGAAAGAAAGAGTCCCAGTGAGAGGGATGTGGAAGAGATGGTGTATGGGCTGTAGCGTGTGTTCTCCATTATGCATGATAGTTGGTGTGGTATGGAAGTGTGTTTTGTGTAAGTGTATCGTGTATATATGGCCCTGTGTGTATTAGGAAGATGTAGAGGTAGGAAGATTTGAGAATTGGAGCAGAGTTCATCAACTAGATGAGTGTGCTGTGGGTCAGAAAAGAAGCAGACTTTAGAAGGACTCAGAATGTCCTTGGATTTGCCTTGAGAACAAGGAAGAATAAGAACAGGTCAGAGCCGGAGAGAACACAGCTAGCAGCAGCCAGGGTGAGCTGCGGTGGGGGACTGCAGAAGGCAGGGGCAGGCTTTAGGGCAGCAGTGGTGTGGTTTCATGCTCCCCAAGCTTCCTGGGCAGGGGACAGTGTGTCCACAATCCATTCACAGTACTCTCAGACCTTTTCAGGAGATCTGAAACTCCTACCCGATTGGCAATGGGAGCTTCTGTCTCTCATCCTTATATCTCCTCCATTCTCCCTTGAAAAAAAAGCAAAGAACACATGTATAAGACTTTACACATGTACACACATACTTGGGTCTACTTGGAGAAAGAAAGACAAAGTCCATTCTGTCCTGGAAACGGGCACAACAGGGGAAGCCCTTGACAGAAGCCTCGTTATGCCCAAGGGGAGGGGAACGAGATAATTCACATTAGTAAGTTACAGAAGGACACAGCCAATCCGTGGAGAAGAGAGCAGCTCTTGGGTCAGGGGGTGGTAGGGACTGCAGTATCCCATCTCAAAACTACTGCCTGCAAAAGGGTATTCTGGGGCTGGTGTCCCTAGAAGGCTGACCTCAATAGTACCCTGTTTCAGGCTATGGAGGTCAGCCTTCTAGGGACACCAGCCCCAGAGCAGCCCAGGTCATAAGGACTCAAACAGGAGCTATGATCTGGCACCTGCTTCTCCCCACCCCACCCCTGCCCCACACATGTCCTTTACTCAAGAAATAAAAGAAATCCTCGGTCTGGTTTCTAGCTAGAACTTAGCTCAATGTCAGGCTTCACCAAGACCCATCATTCCAGGAGGTGGATGCGGATCCCCACAGACCAAGCTTCTCCTCCTTCCTCTTTCACTGGTTTCCAACATCAGCACCATGAGCTTTTAAGCATACACAGCAGTGAAGAGCTTTTTACACAAAGGAAAGACATGGAAACTAATGAATGTGGCTACTCAATGCTTGGGGAGAAGACACAAGCATATAGAAATGACTGTAAAATATTAAGACTACAAATCACACATTGTCTTTGTTAGCTCCATGAAGAATCTAGGCATTCTTAGAGGACAGAATAGAATGGGGTTATTAGAGAAAATGTATGACTTCCATGGTAACTAAACGAGTCCATGGCCCCTGAAGGGGTAGGATTCTTGGTGTAGTTGATAGAGCATCAACTTCTGAGACAGATTTGGAGATCAAGCAATGGCTCTGTTACACATACATTTATGTGATATCGGATGAGGTCAGGTGACTTCTCAGAGCCTCAGTGTTCCAATCCATTTAATGGTGTAAATTCCATATCACATCTCCCAGATTATCTGTGTGCCAATCAGTGGTCATCAGGAAGACAAGCCTTGATAGCACGGTGGGCACCTGCTGCTTCTTCAACCCTAGAGGGAGCCTGGGAAGCCTGGCCCTCCTCCCTTTTGTTTGGTCACAATGGACACGTATATTTACACGGAGAGATAAGATAACATGTAGATGAGGAAATTCACATGCAGACAGTGTGTGTGTGTGTGTGTGTGTGTGTGTGGTGTACAAATGGGTCTGCAGACAGGAGTAGAACTCATGTGATTATAGACAGTTGTGTGGACATGTATAAGGGAAAGGGATTTTGGTTTAGCATATTCTACTACAACCTGTTGGTTGTGACCCCTTTGGTAAACCTCCATCTCCAAAAATATTTACATTATGATTCACAGCAGTAGCAAAGTTACAGTTAGGAAACAGCAATGAAAATGATTTTCTGACTGGGGAGGGTCACCGCAGCATGAAGAACTGTATTAAAGAGATGCAGCATTAGGAAGGTTGAGAACCACTGTTTCGGTAGATCAGATGAAGGTGAAGTTATGGACTTGTGCTGATGTGCTGGCAGAGTAACCTGGGACACACACTCACGCCAGGCTGGCAGTTGACGTTCTAGGTCTTGTTTATCAACAGCTAGGCCAGCTGCTGTAAATCCACCAGAGGAAGAGCTGTCAGACCTGCATTAAAGATGACCTAGTTTGGGAGGGCACACAAAGGTGATGGCATGTGGGAGTCAGAGTAGGTGATGGATGTGACGCTGCCCAGGACTATGGAGTAAGGATGAAGCCCTGAGTTCCACAGCAGATGATCCCCCGCCTCCCCCCACCCCCGAGTGCATCAAACCAAGCCCTCCAGCTAGCAGCTAGACTCTACACTGTCAGGTCAAGATTATGGTACACAGTCAGAGCCACCAGGAGGAAACACTGTTTCCAGGTGTTTTGAGTGCAGGGCTACATCTAGCTATCTCAGGTAATCTCCTCCACCCCGACCCCTGTTACCTGAGACTTTCTTGATTTTAGTGTTAAAAGTCTTGCATTCCTGGAAAACCCCAAGTCATAGGTAGATGCAGAGGAATGGCAGCCCCTCTGGCAGATCTTGTACATCCGCGGGCAGGGAAGCCTCTGTAAGGAGAAGAACGCAGGGAATAAGTATGAACTTAGAGCTCTGGAAGGACGGGTGAATGACCAAAGGACCCGAGCTTAAAGCTTCCGTAGCTTTGTGACTCTGTACCTAAATCACAGAGAGTTTTTGACTTAAAGCCAGCCCAAACCAGGTATGCCTCCAAGTCTCATTAGCTGGGTGAGCCTATGTGGCGCTTTGAATTAAAATGGCCCCCATAGGCCCATAGGGAGTGGCACTTTTAAGAAGTGTAGCCTTGTTGGAGTAGGGTGATCTTGTTGTGCCACTGGGGGTGGACTTTGGGGTTTCAGAAGCTCAAGCCAGGCCCAGTGTCACTCTCTTCCTGCTGCCTGCCAATCCAGATGTAGGACTCTCAGCTCCTTCTCCAGCACTATGTCTGCACTGCAAGCCACCATGCTTCCTGCCATGATGACAATGGACTAAACCCCTGAACTGTAAGCCTGCCCCAGTGAAATGTTTTCCTTTTTAAGAGCTGCTGTGGTCATGCTGTCTCTTCACAGCAGTAGAAGCCCTAACTAAGACAGACTTGGTAAGTTTTTTTCTTGACTTTAAAACTTTCCTCAGGAAGACTGGGCAGGTTCAAGGAGACACACAGTTGAGAGTGGGTACACAGACACACACACACACACACACACACACACACACACACACACACCACACGGCAGGCAAGTGGCCTACACATCTCCTCTGTCCCTCTCAAGTGCACGTCCGTTGACTGAGTGAAATGACAGCAGAGAAGTCAGACGTCTGAAGGAGCCTCTCAGGAGGAGATGGAGGACAAGATGCGGAGGGAATCAGCTCTTCTCAGCACAGCAACCAGACACCTGCTTCAGGAACCCTTCAGTGTGAGCAACCTCCAGCAAACCTGTCTTGCACATTCTGTGTGGGACCTGGCTTTGTCCTTGCATCTTGGAAAGCAAAGATTCGGAAGTTCCTGTGTGATGTGCGGTGCCCACCCTCAACCAAAGGAGTCCGTATGAAGACCTTTGGGCAGACTTACCTGAACCTTGCTGCATTTCCTAGGTATAGATTCAGCTCCTCCCTGCTGCTCTCTAAATCCCTGGTCCTTCTAAGAATTGATCAGGGAGGCCTGGCCAAGGCTGTAGGTGCTCTGCTTCCTTGAAGTGCCCTGGAAAGAGAGGATGCTGAGAGCACCAGGATGCATGCAGAGGGTCCATTGTCTAAGGGCACAGCATCCTATGGGCAGCTTTGAAAGCAACCTGGTTTTAAGCCATCACTCAAGCTTTGCCTTACTCCTCACCCTAACTGATGAATGAGTGGCCCTTCCCGAAGAAGGGTACAGGGGATATCTCTGCTCACTGTTTAGTGTTAGAGAAGGCGGGTCCAAGCCAGGAATGCTCCTGGGAGTTCCTGTGTTCCTACTCCATTCCGACAGTACCGTCTCTACTCTTGCTCTTTCAGTCTAACTCAAAGCTAAAGGGCCTGTTTGACTTCCCAAGGCAATGCCGTTTTCCATCGCCCTTTCTCTTCTCTCAATGCTGACCTCTCTGCCCTGGAAGAGGCTGGACTGTTTTCTTGCTCACTGTTTTATTTTCATGAATGCTTCGTTCACAGAGGTCTGACCCTGAAAGCCACAAAATAAGTTAAATAAAACAGGAAAATTCCTGAGCAGCCGGAGCCCCGCCAAGTAACAGGAATCCCCAAATTTCTTGTGGCTTGCTCAAGGTAGCCTGGGGCACGCACACAGTCCCTTTGCAAAGCTCCACCTCTGCACCCGGTGATCTGGGTTGCTAGGGATCAGAGGGCGTGGTAGAAGGAAGGCAGTCTAGACACGCCTCCCCACCCGCTAGCTCTAAGCTGGTTCCAGTAATTGGTCTCATTAGTTGTCTGACCGGAGCCATCCAACTGTGCAGATCCCGGAGCGCTGTCATCCGCTTAGTGCTCTTGCAACACCTGCGCTCCCTCCCTCCCTCCCTGCGGCTGCCTCCGTCACCCTCATCGTAGCTTCTGCTCTCCTCCCGCGCCCAGGGCATGCTCCGAGGTCCAGCACCCGGGCTCGGCAGTGGCCAGTCTCTCAACCAGTCTGCAGAGACATGAGGCACGGCCCGCGAGCCATCCTGGTGCTGGGGCTGCTGCGCATTTACCTGGGTGAGTGGCAAGGGCCCAGGAGGATGGGTGCTGGCGCTCCCTGGGGAAACAGACTGACTGAGGATACACAGTCCCGTTCCGTTGCAGACCTCGGGAAGAGGACAGCCTTCCAGCCACGAGGCAGGGTGATGGGACGCTCCCGGGGTGCTTCTCCACAGGCCGAGAGCCAGCATCCTGCCAGCATCCCAGTAGACTGGGGCTCTGTCACTGGATGTCAAACTCTCGCGCTGGGAGGCTAGGGGGCTGCTCTGCTGGCTGCCCTGGCAAGGCTGAAAGCATGACCTTGGCCCGGCACACAGCCCCTCTGTGAGCTCTTTGATGCGGTGGGATTGTCTTTCCCCTTGATTCTAGGCGCCTGCGATAAAATGTGTCCCTGACAAGCTTGAGCCTAGCCCAAGCATACCCTCATCAGGAACTCCTTGCAGGAAGAGAGAACCCCTCTTTTCATTAGCTGGGTCCCGGCAGATGACTTTGCTGCTGTGACGCTCCCTCGAGGTGTCCATTTGTCTTCATTCTTTTCCTAGCCCAGGCCAACTTCGCCCCTCACTTCTTTGACAATGGAGTGGGCAGCACCAACGGAAACATGGCCCTGTTCAGCCTCTCAGAAGACACTCCTGTAGGTAAGAAAGTAGCCTTGGCTGCAGCCGTCCCAGACCTCCCAGAGGGAGTTTCCCTAGAGGGAAAACCCAAGGACTCATGAGTCCTCGGAGCCTATGGCATGCTCCTGTCGCACAATGCTGTCTCCCATGGGTACTCTGTTTGTGCCCTGAATGCCCCCAGGGTAATGGCAGGGAAGGAGATGACCTAAACTGGACCCCCTCCAGGAGAACAGGATGGGAACCCAAAGATGGAGCCGGCAGGCTCCCTCTGAAGCATAGTTGGGGGTACTTGTTGCTCTTTAGGGTGTGACCGTGAGCAAACACCTCCACAAGCCTGCTTTAAAACCACCCCAAAACTGCCAACCACGAGACGTGTGGAGTGGTGGGTAAAAGGAGAGAGGAGAGGTTCACACCCCGTACTGTACCATATCGAGGTTTACCTAGCTCTTGGGAGGAGAGCAGAAAAATATAGGTGCTTGCATTCCAAAATCCCCTAAGAGCCCGTCCCTCCTCCAGTATGACTTGCTTTACTCCACTTGGCTCCTGATCCCAGGGACCCCTCCTCCCCCCCAGTTTCAGCTTCGGATAGAATTCATTCCAGGTAGAGGGGAAAATCAGTTCAGTCAGACACCTCCTCCACAGGCTGTATGACAGATTGCAATCTGCAGAGCGGCTGATAATAACGTCTGACAACTTTGGAGAATAAAGATAACGCAGGGGTGAGGCCTGGCACTGAATATTAACAGTGGCGTCTCTAGCCCTGAGTGTCCGCTGTTGTCGGGGGAAGTTGGAGCCCAGGTTCCAGATAGTCCCCTTGTCTTCTTCCAGGCTCTCATGTGTACACCCTAAATGGGACTGACCCCGAGGGAGACCCTGTCTCCTACCACATCAGCTTTGACCCCAGCGCTAGAAGCGTCTTTTCTGTTGATCCCAATTCTGGAAACATCACCCTGGTGGAAGAGCTGGACAGAGAGGTACAAAGACATGTAGGAGAAAATCGGGGCTACTGCTCGCTGAGCATTCAGAAACCTCTGTGCCAGTCTCCATGGAAGGAGGGTGAGGGAGGGGGGTGAGGGAGGGGGTGAGGGAGGGGGCGAGGGAGGGGGGTAGCCCCCGTACTGCAGCTCTGCCCCTAGACTGCTTCATATTAGTGAAGACTCCTTTATCCTTCCAGGGTGAATGGTGGCTATCCTTCAGTGGCAGCTGTCAGTCCCGAAAGCACAGTGAATTAACAAATAAACAAAACAAAACTTGCACTTTGAAGTTTCTGAGAGCCCCGCCACCGGCAGAGTGGGTTTTTAAGCCTGACCTTGGATCCCACAAACCACAGGGACTTCTATAGACTAGGCTAGCTAGGAGAGGGTCTCTTGAGTTTGGAACACTCCTGATTCTGGGTCCTTCTGAGCCCCGGAGTGGTGGTGCTTAGGTTTCCGTTCCCTCCGCTTGCCTACATAACGGCAGCCTCAGCTGTAGGGCTGCTGCTAATTATGATTCTGCGGCAAAAGCCTTGAATCACAGCTCAGAGGAGGGCACAGGAGCGGGCCCGGGGGTGGGGGGCAGCTCTTGGCAGGGTGGTGAGGATTTTGTAGTGGAGTCAGACTGCTGCCAGCACACTGCCCTGCTTATAAATGGATCTGGTGACCTCCTCGAGATCCCAAGTCATGGGGAACACTCGGGACACCCTGAACACAGACCACATAAACCCTGGACTGTAGAAAGGTTGGAGAGATGGGGGGGGGAGGGAAGAGAAGTGAGGAAAATTCCTCTCTGGGGTACACCAGGGTTTCCCCTCACCTTTCTCTAGCAGGACAACATCTGTTGAGGACACATGGAACCCTTGGGAACCATGGGAACTCTGGACACACAGAACCATCCCAAATAAGGTCTCAAGCCTGGCAGGAGGGAACTTCATAGGCCTTGAGCACCATCACCGCCTTGTTCAGCTCTCGGCTCCCTAAAGCAGCCTTCTCTGATGGGGTGACAGATTAGCACAGCCTCGAGTCTAAGCTGCTCTCAGCTTGTCCCTCAATCCCTTTGCTTTCACAGAAAGAAGATGAGATTGAAGCCATCATCAGCATTTCCGATGGCCTGAACCTGGTGAGTCAGTCCTCATCATGCAGTCCTCATCATGCAGTGTTCATCATGCAGTGTTCGGGCCTGAGCGCGGGTGGCATGGTTCCTCTTCCAGCTGGGACACTCCCTGGTCTAACCAAACCCAGAACAGTGAAGGCCTGCCCAACGTGCCCATGCCTAAGGGGTACAGTGAGGCCGTAGGTGAGGGAAGGAAAGGTAAAAGCAGAGATCCAAGGTCTCTTAGATTCGCTTTACAGCAGTCCCACCAACACCGAGCACCTTCTCAAGCCTGTCTGCTCATTCCCCATCTGCCAGCTTCTGCCTCTGGCTCTTGGCCCGGGGGCGGCAGGTGTTCTCCCTCTTTTCTCCTCGACTTCCCCAGCCGTTACTTTCTGCCAGCCACTTCAGTGCTGACATGATCACAGCAGGCCCCAGGGGCTCCCTGACCACCCAGTGTGCATTCAGAGTGTCGTCAAGGCTTTCACCTGTGAAGCATAAACCTGGTTGCTCTGCACTGGGGAAAGCACTGACAGCTGGCCCTCCCCTCCCTCAGGGATGAAATCCAAGTTGCCCTGCAAGGCCTCCCTGTCAGGTGCCACCTGCCACTCCCAACTCTTCCCCCTCCCCCGTCTACTGCCAGCCCATCCAGCCTCTCTCCTGTGCTCTGGATTCCCGTTGTGTCCATCTCCTCTTGGCTGTGCCCATTGACCCCAGCTTCCTGGCTCATTTCTGCCTCTTGCCTCTGGCAAACTCGGCAGGGCTGATGCGTCTAGCCCCAGAGATTCCCAGGTGTCCACCACCACAGTTCAGGATCCTTGAATGGCCTCTGGCTGCAGCAGTCAGCACAAAGGACGCGTTGGCAGAGGTCATGGGCATCACTGTCTCAAGCGGTTCTGTTTAGGGCATTGCTCTCAGGGCTTGTTTGTCACATTGCCATTCTGAATGGTATCTCTGTGGGGTGATTCCTCCCCATACCTAAGCCACTGTGGTCTCTGAAAATGTCCATCAAATGTTCCTCTGTCTCTAGGGCGAAAGAAAGTGCTGGTCATCAGTGGGATGCTTAATATTTGTTGCATGAATATACAAAAGCAGAATGGAAAGGAGGGAGGGAGGGAGAGAGAGAGAGAGAGAGGAGAGAAAAAAAAACCATATCTCTGGGGCCATTAGAGGGCATCTTTTTAATCTCCCAAGAAGGTCTCCTTCCACCTAATCCTGACTCTTCTGTTTCTCAGGTGGCAGAGAAAGTCGTGATACTGGTGACAGATGCCAATGATGAGGCCCCCAGGTTCACCCAGGAGCCTTACATTGTCCTGGTTCCAGAGGTGAGTGAGGGACGCCAAGCAGGCACAAGGCTCCAACTTGGGCCCCCGAGGCTGCCCTATGACTTTCGCAGGGGACCAGAGTCCTGCGTGCAGGACGCCCATCCGTTATCCACTGCAGTGGTTGTTGTAACTGTAAACGCCTGCTTACTGTAGACATGGCAAGTGCATGTCGAAGTCATTCTCACTCCCTACTTTGTGACCTCACAAAGTTTTGCCGTTTTTCCTTTTAATATTTTTGGGGGAGCGTTGAGACAGGGTTTCTCTGTGGCTTTGGAGGCTGTCCTAGAACTCACTCTGTAGACCAGGCTGACCTCGAACTCACAGAGATCCGCCTGCCTCTGCCTCCTGAGTGCTGGGATTAAAGGTGTGGGTAACACCACTGCCTGGCCCTTTTAATGTTTTTATGTATGTGGTTGTAAGATTTTTATTCTTTTTGTTTGACATATTGTGATCCTAAAAGTATGCTCTCTGTACCCTGTTTTTTTTCTTCATTTCATTGCAACATAAGAATTCTGTTCCTTCATTGTCAAGCATAGGGAATTAGCATAATTTTAATTACTTCTATCACACGAAGGGCAATCACACACTGATGGAATCCAAGAAGCCCTTTGTGTCTGGGTATTTAAGCTTCAAATTTCTATGGTCACAAGCAATATCAACCTTTAAGTAAAGCCTTTAAGTGAAACTATTAAAAATATTCGCTTGTCAGCCTCCAAAACAATACAGAGAAACCCTGTCTGGTAAAAACCAAAAAAAAATATTCGCTTATCTATTGTATAAGTATGCACACCACGTGTGTGCGCAGGCGAGAAGAAGGGGTCAAGTCTCCTAAAGCTGGGGTTACAGATGGTTGTGAGCTGATGTGTGCGTGCCGGCCACTGAGCCCAGGTCCACTTTAAGGACATGTGCTCTGAACCAATGAGACATTTCCAGACCTATACAGACATGCTCCCCCCTCCCCCCCCTTCAATTTTGTTTTTGTTGTTGTTTTTCAAGACAGGGTTTCTCTGTGTAGCCCTGGCTGTCCTGGAACTCGACCTGTAGATCAGGCTGGTCTTGAACTCACAGAGACCTGCCTCTGCCTCCCAAGTGCTGGGATTAAAGGTGTGCGTCACCACCTTTAATTTTGATTGTGGTGATACACATCTGTAGTCTAATTGCTTGGGAGGCAGGAGTGTAAGCTAAACCAAAATGTTCTGGTTTTGAGACAGCTTCCCTCTGTGGAAATGATGGATTTGAATTCTTGTCCTCCTGTCTCGACCTGAGATCCTTTTGTCTACAGACTAGGGATACAGTTCAATGACAGAAAACTTGCCAGTAATGCCTGGAACCCTGAATTTTCCCTTTGTACAAAAAGAATCCTTGAGGTAGAGTGCAAAATTTAAAACTACTATGTTGAGTAGTTCACATAAATTCTTTAGAAATTTTTATTATTTGTTCTTAATGAGCATAAGTGTTTTTCCTGAATGCATGACTCTGCACCACATGTGTGCAGTACCAGAAGAAACTAGAGTTACAGATGCTTGTGATCTGCCGTATGAGTGCTGAGAATTGAACCCAGGTCCTCTGGAAGAGCAGCTATCACTTATTTCTTATGTTACCAAAGTACTGTATTAAAAGGTCACCTTGTTTGTCCTCTGTTTTATGATGCAAAAGAGCAATTGTCTCCATCCTACTGCTTGCTAAGGCGTCAACAGATAGTTTAGTTGGTAAAGGCATTTGCCAACAAGCTTGACCATCTGAGTTTGATTCCCAGGACCCACTGGGTGGAAGGAAACAGTCAGCTTCCCCAGGTTGTCCTCTGGCCCTCATACAAGTGGTTGTGGCATGTGTGTGAGTACACACACACACACACACACACACACACACACTCACACACACACACACACCTCATAAACATGTCTTCTAATTCAGTGGTGGAAAATACTCCATTCTTGCTGTAAATGGCATATATGTGTTCTCTGATGATCCTGAATATGTCCATGTTTATAAGCTGTGGATTTGTTTTTAAATTAGTATTTCATATTTTAATCCTTCAGGACATCCTCTCTCTTCTTGCCCTCCCCCTCCTCTCCCTTTCCCTTGTATCCACTCCCCCACCTCTCCTCTGTCCAGTCAGTCACCCTGCTGATCCCTCTGTTCCACACCTCTGCACCCCCCCACCATCTTGCTATTGATACTGACCCTTCTCTCTCTGTGACCTCTCAGAGTACACCTGCTGGGAGCAGCATCTTTAAGGTCCACGCAGAAGATAAGGACACAGGCTCTGGAGGGAGTGTCACCTACTTCCTACAGGTAAGGTAGGACACAGAAGATGCAAACAGGGCCTTGAGATGGAGAGGACAGCTGGGTGTCCTCTGCTTCCATCACCTGCTACCCCACTCCCCATACCTGCCAGCTCTCAAGGGTACCCCACAAGGATGAAGACCAGAATGAGATAGAAGACCTCTTCTCCCAATAAACCCATGTTGACTTCCTCTGAGTTGTTCAGCGCCTTTCTCTTTAGGGTTACGGAATCTTCAGCTCTCTACTTCCCCCATCCCTTTCCCTAAAGAAGTACTGGACACTTAGCACCCACACAGATAGATACAAGAAATCCATTTAGGACTGAAATGGTCAATAGGAAAAAGAGGAGATGGCGCTCTACTGAGTAAGCTCTCACTCCCAGCCCTCTGCGATGTGTTGCCAAAGATGGGGGCTTCACCCCTGAACTGATGCCTTTTCCTAGTCCCCTAGGAGCCACTGTCCACCCTCATATTTATGGCTTCAGGGCACATCCTATTCTTTCCATATTTGGCTGTCTGCCCTCAGATTCTCAAGGCAATACAACCTCGTGGCTAAAACTACAAATTCTAGAGAAATCATCTGAACTCATAGGAACTAGAGAGAAACACTTCCCCCACAAACACACACTGACCACTCATGTTTCTCCAAAACCTTTCTTAACTCTTCTCCTGGAATGAGAAGCACCGATTATTCATCCATCCTGATATTAAACATGTGTAAAGCTCCGATTGTAGCATCTGGAGCCTCTTGTTGGACCTTCCCCAACTGAAGACCCCTGGGCACCTTAACAGAGGCAAGTGCTTTTACAGTCCATTCAGGGCCAGTCACCAGCTCCTGCCAGGAACTAAGTATAGCCACCATAGCCATTTTTACCTGGTGTCGTTTGAAGGTGCCCAGCTCTCTCTCTTTCGCTACTCCACCTAAGTCCCAGTCTCAACCAAGTCCGAGCACTCTGAATGAGTCTTCCTGCTACAAGGCAGCAGGCTTTTCTGCAAGACAGAGGGATGGTGTAGAAAGCCTGAGTAAAACTTCTGTTGACAGAAAACCCTGAATTCGGACAGGCAGGAAACTTGAACTTGGAATGTAAGCCAGGGTTTCTGGGATAAAAGTCAATGACTCCTTCAGTAGGCAGCATGAGACCTCCTGGCATGGCATGGTTGCTCCCTGAGTTCAGCTGCTTCCTCCCAACTTTGCAGAACCTACACTCCTCCAAGTTCACCATGGACCGCCACAGTGGTGTGCTACGTCTCCAGGCCGGAGCCTCACTGGACTACGAGAAGTCAAGGGCCCATTTCATCACTGTGGTCGCCAAGGTAACAAAGGAAGATACAGGGGGTAACTTCAGCCTTTGCTAGGTTGGAGCGTGGTGAGGTCCTAAAAAGGAGCTGATATTTTCAAGACCAGGAGACACAATGTGGGCGCGAGGGTGGAGTGCGGGGGGGAAGGGGGGGAGAACGGGGGACGAGAGCTGCTTACAATCTCTTCTGCCTGAACAAATTTCAGGAAGCTGGAGTCTCTAGGGTGGAGGGGCCACATTTCTTTCTAGGGGATGTTATATGACTCCCTAGAAACTTAGAGTTAGGTCCCTTCAGAGCCGGGGCATGACACAGAGACTTGTGCCCTTCCCCCAGCTTCCAACGTCTCTATCTCTGGTCAGAATGGCTCATGCCACTCCTCCTTGCTGTGTGGCCAGCTAACCCTCTCTGAACTCAGTTTCTGAAGCTGAATGGAGTTCCTCACTTCGGTTTGCGAAGCACATGGTGGCAAGGGACAATCAGTTGGCACTCAGCCAAACCTCCTGCCCCAGGGAGAAGGAAAACCCAGCTGTCCCGTTAGACCTGCTGGGTTCTTTCTCAGGAAGCACCCTCTCAGATCACTGTTTGGCTGTAGGCCACCCTCCTACACCCTGCACCAGGAGGCTGGGAACCACTCTGCCTGCTAGCTGCTCGTTTCCCTGACTCTTAAACAGAGGAGGACCCAAGTCATATCCCTGGGACTCCATGGCCGCCAGCATAGGCTGGACACATGGAAGGCTATTAGCAGTTGCTTGAGGCTTGGGTTTCCACGTAGGTGTAGGAATTTTGGTCTGATTCCTCCTCCTCTGGCACTAATGACACATAATGGACCTGCAGAGTTAATTAATCTATATCCAAGAAACCTGTCAGACACCTGACTCAAAGCCTCCATGTGCCATTTCTTTGGCATGCCCAACACCTCCGAGAAAGGAGACTGGGCTCCAGAGACAAAAACAAACAGACACCTGAAGGGGCCAACTGGCTTCACAGACAGGAGGAAGCAGGAGTCTATTCAAGCGGAGCCTGTCACCTTGAGGCCAGCTTGTCTTCACCCCCCTTCAGTGGCCTGACTCCTCCCCAGGATGGCGGAGGCAGGCTTCGAGGGGCTGATGTGGTATTCTCAGCCACCACCACAGTCACCATCAATGTGGAAGATGTTCAGGACACGGCCCCTTTTTTCGTGGGTACACCCTACTACGGTTACGTGTACGAGGACACCCTTCCGGTGAGTGGCTGCATCACCTACCCAGTGTTCCTTATGTTACTCCCTGGGACTACCCTGAGGGTGGCTGGATTCACCACACACTAGCCAGTCTCCCCTCTGTCAAATAGGAGGCCAAGAGTTTCTGGAAGCTCACGCATTGATCCTGGGGCCAGGGAGTGGCAAAGTTCTCTCAGGTGGTCCCCTCAGCCTTGGGAGGCTGGATGCACAGAGCCCTAAGCAGGTCACCTTCTGGAGCCCCCCAAAACCCAGTTTTTTTCCTGAGTGGGTTGATATCTCCTGTCCACGATGGGGCAGTGTTGGGTTAGGGGAAACACCCACATCACCATCAGCCTCAGACCACGGCTCCTCTTCTCCAAGGGCTCAGAGGTACTGACGGTGGCTGCCATAGACGGGGACCGAGGCAAACCCAACCACATCCTCTACAGGCTCTTGAATGGTAAGCGAGGGCAATGCCCTGCCGCATCTCTGGTTCTGTGCAACTGGGTCCTGGTTTCCTCGCCTATGGGACCAGAGTGACAGGTGGGAGGCTGGGGTTGGGGGGAGGGCTAGTCTCCTCAGACGATGACTTTGCTGTACACTTACTTGTCATTACACCCTGAGGTGAGAGAGAACACCTCAGGATCCAGAGAGAAACACGCACTCTCTTTGCCCTGGACATAGTCACCAATGGCATGAGTGGCGATACTTCTCACACGCCCAGAATTTCTGTGTCTTGTTCTCATTCTTTTTTGTTTCTTTTTGAGTGGGGCAGATAGTTAAATGAATTAAATACAATGATGTTGTGGCATTTCCATAATATTTGACCTGTATGTAGAAAACCAAGGTTCAGAGGCCTGATAGATATTGACTACTTCTTGATTTTAATCTAAGCCAGATAGCTCTGGGATGTTCTACTACAACTGGACAGTAGCCAAGCATGCCACAGTGTCCCTGGGGTGGGCTCCATGGCCCTCGGGAGACCAGATCAGCACACCTGAAGCCTGATCCTAGATGCACTTACATCTGTAGCACACTACTCTTCCCCTGTGTGCTCTGGTACACGGTCACCTTCCAGGAGTTCAAACAAAAATATTCCCATGACCACCAAGAAATCACTGTGAATGGGCTCCTCTTCCACCAACCCCCAGTTAGTACACTCATTTCACATCCCTCCTCACCACTCTTTACACCCGCCATCTCCCGCACCTTCTCCAAGCTCCTTTCTGTCCTCTTCCCCCTTCCAGTCCCCTCTCTCCATCTTTCTTTATCTCCCTCTCTCCCTTTCTCTTCTTGTTCCTTTTTTCTTACACACACACTTTTATGTATGAGAAAAGGCACATGGATGGATCCTGAGAACTGGGCAAAAGTTCACGTCCAGATCTGTAGTGGCTGCAGGACCTTAGACAGGTTACTTGGCCCCACTGAGACTCAGTTTCCTCATTGGCAAGGCACAGATGGTTGTCAGTGTTACATTCTATGAGGAGTTCTCCCCCCACCACATGAGATGTCATAGGAATATGTGACACGACTCCCCTGCTGCCTCCTATGACCTAAACTGCAGGACATTTTTCTGTGACAGAGAGGGAGACTCAGTTTCCTCATTGGCAAGGCACAGATGGTTGTCAGTGTTACATTCTATGAGGAGTTCTCCCCCCACCACATGAGATGTCATAGGAATATGTGACACGACTCCCCTGCTGCCTCCTATGACCTAAACTGCAGGACATTTTTCTGTGACAGAGAGTGATGGAGTCTTTGAAATTAATGAGACATCTGGAGCCATCTCAGTCCTTCAGAGCCCTTCCCAGCTCCGGAGAGAGGTGTATGAACTTCACGTACAGGTGACACCCCCGTTGCTTGTCTTGTCCCACCCACTCTCCGGTCCCGGAGAGCAACGAAAGTGATGAAACCCAAGGGCTCAGTCTGGGGAGGGATTGGAATGCTTCTCCAAGGAGCACCTACATCAGGCTGCAGCGAACACGAGAGACATGAGGCCACAAGCAGGGTTATTGAGAATGCAGAGGGAGCATCACTTCATGGGCAAGACCCTGGACTCAATGCAAACAGAGAAATCTAGGTGTGTTCTGAGCAGCAGTGAGCTAGCAACATGAACAAGCGTATTCCTTCTGCTCTTGACTGTGAATGTGGTGTTTTCAGCTTCCTCAAGCTCCTACTTCTCTAACTTCCCAACAGCCATTAACTGTACCTGGAACAGTGAGCAGGAAGAAACCCCTTTCTCTCCCAGGATGCTTTGAGTTAGGGAATTCTGTGACAGCCAAGAACTGAAACAAGCCTAGGACAGCCATGCAGTGAGTGAGTTACTCCCTGAGAGGGTGGTTCTGTCAGGAGAGGGGCTGTTGGCAACATCCACAACTGCAGAGCATCAGAGGCTAAGGGTGAGGAGGACGTGGGGAGCATCTGGAGGAAACAGTAGGCACTGGGGAAGACAACTTGCCAAGAACTGACTCACATAACTGAGGGAGCTGAGTCCTCTGATGCTAAGATGGTAGAGCCAGATGCAGTGTGGAAATCTGTGTGAAAATCTAGCTGGGGATGGGTGAGAAGTGAGTGGGACGGGAAAGACAGGATAGCATGCAGAGGCTTCTGAGAAGCAGCAGGCCTACAGAAAGGTGTGGAACGGGGTCTGGGAGGGTCAGTTTAGAGCAGCGGTTCTCAACCTATGGGTCACGGCTCCCAAAGACCATCCAAAAACACTTATATTTACATTACGGTTTGTAACAGTAGCAAAATTACAGTTATGAAGTAGCAACGAGAATAATTCCATGGTTGGGGTCAGCACAACATGAGGAACTGTATGAAAGTGTCCCAGAATCAGGAAGGTTGAGGATTAACTGAACCAGAGCATCTTTTTAGGAGTAGAACATCCTTATCCAACACAGGAAGGAGGCCCTGGAAAAGGAACACTTGTCACAAGTTTTGTGGGGGTGCCTATGAATGCCCAGTCTTGGCTTTACAGACTGTATTAGTCAGCTAAAGCTTCATGAGTAATCACCCCAAACTTAGTGACCTAAAACAACAGACAGGAGTAGGGAGTCTGAGTTCAACTTGATTGGATCTTGGATTCCAAGGTCATTCACATAGCTGCAATCAGAGGCTTGGCTGGGGAAGGGCTGGCTTTATGGCTCACTTGGTTCTGGTGTGAGTCAGTTGCTTGCTGGCTGTTGCCTATGGGTTAGTGTTAGCTCCTTATCTTGTAGCCTCTGTAATGTAGCTGACTGCTTCATGAAAGCCTTGGGAAATAGAAACACTGCTAGCAAAATCTCTAGTAATCTAACCAAGATGCCAGTCAAAAGCAAGCTGTCAGATCAGGAATTACAAGGTTATGAAGGAAAAATGATTAGGACCAGTAACAGTCTGCCTGCCATATAGCCATAGCCACCTGTCCCCATCCTAGGTAACAGAGGTCAACTCTCCAGGAAGCCCGGGTGCCCAGGCCATGGTCCCAGTCACCATCAGGATTGTGGACCTCAACAACCATCCTCCAACATTCTATGGGGAGAGTGGGCCCCAGAACAAGTTCGAACTCTCCATCTACGAGCACCCACCCCAGGGGGAGATACTTCGTGGACTCAAGATCACAGTCAATGACTCGGACCAGGTGTGTGGCCATGCCTTTGAAATTGACTGGGTCTGTGTCGGTGTTCAGTTTCCGTGAAAGGGGCCCATTCAAGTCACAAAATGAATAAAACAAGATACTGCAGCTAAAAGGTATTGGAGGGATGGTAGTCAATCCCATAGTATTTTCTTAGACACTAACAGTCAGTTACAAAGTAAAAGGCAGTCAAAGGAAAGTCCTTCTCCAATGCTTAGCACAGAGCCAGGCTGTATTTATTTTTTTGCCTTGCTTAACTGTCATACTCTGCTAAATCTGACTCTTAACCAATTCACCTTTATAGAGAAAGACTTTTCACTGCTTCAGTTAAGGGCTCCTCACCTAGCACAAACATACAATGTATTCCTATTCTTATTTATCTTCTGTTTCTTCTTTTCAAACTCTATTGCCCAGGGAGCCAATGCCAAATTCAACTTACGGCTGGTGGGACCTGGAGGCATCTTCCGAGTGGTACCACAGACCGTTCTGAATGAAGCCCAAGTCACCATCATCGTAGAGAACTCAGCCGCCATTGACTTTGAAAAGTCTAAGTTGTTAACCTTCAAGGTAGGTGCTGTATTGCACTGCCCTCAACTGGAAGGTAGGGCTGGGAGCAGGCTAGCTCACACTACTGCCTAAATTCAGTGTGTGTGTGGGACCATTGTCACTTCCAGTCCTGAGTTGTTCTACTCTTTTCTCCTCAGGGTTTCTGCCCATCCTGTGGGCATGTGGGAAATAGGATTTACCCCCCATGCACACAGCTTCTGCAAAGTGCTCATAGCCTCAACCTTACTGAGGTGCAAACTCCTAAACCACCCTTGGCTAAGGACACACTACCAATGTACTTTGCCTTGTTAATAGAGGGAGAGAGAGAAGATGTGATTATCAAAACACAGGTTTTTCTTATGTATCTTAGACATTTGTCATCTCTTCCAGTAAGAAACTTAAAAGAAGCAAGGAAATATAATTTTTATGTCATTTATAAGTATGAAAAACTATGCATATGTATAAATAATTCCTGTCATATATTAGCATATGAGTAATATATTAATTAAAAGGTACTTCAATAATATATTTAACTCATCATTATTTGTAATTCTGTATATACAGAGAGTATGTAGCCAGCATCATGATAAAAAGTGAGATACTAAAGGCTTTGTCTTAAGTTGGGAATAAAACTCAAATGCCTGCTGTCACCAAAATGATTTAGCTCAATGTTTGGACTGACATAATTTCAGATAAAGAGGAGATAAGAGCTGCAAATGTTAGGAATGAGGAGCTAAAAAGAAGTATTACTGTTTTCTTAAAAAATTTAAACAAAAATGATTGAAAGACTATCATAAATAAAGCAAACCCACAGCACAAAGTTAGTACTCTACACCTAACAGTTTTCTTAAGGAGTGAGAGGAAGGGGGAGAGAATTTTGAGTATAATGGAATAAAAGACACTTTTACAAAAGTAATACAGCATTCTTAGGAACTACCCTAAAGAGAAATAAAAAACACTAAAATGAAAATAAAAGTTTCCCCAGTGAGATCTAAGGTAGGCAAGCCTAGGAAGGTGTTCCTGCTTTTGCTCTGCCCCTTTAAATTATGGCGTGTGCACACTTTCTTTTCAATGCAGTGCATCAGAAGTTATGGTATGTGTAAGTTTTTTTTTGGTTGTGATTAAGAATCATAGATTTATTTTTTTGTAACTTTTTGGCTATTGTTCTTGTGTATCCTGACAGCATCATGTGTGTCAACCTGTGTCAATCATGATGGGTGGTTATGAAATGCCAGACTGCTAAAATAAATGTTTTGGACTTAAAAGAGTAAATAAATGCTGCTTTGGGGAAAAAATGCAAATCCCAGCTAAGTTAATGAAGACTCTAATGCGATCCTATTCATGCTGCTTTTTTGTTTGTTTGTTTTTGTTTTTGCTTTGAAGACAGAGCCTTTCCATATAGCCCAGGCTGACTTGGAGCTCACTGTGTAGCCCAGGATGACCTCAAATTCACAATCCTCCTGCCTCTGCCTCCTGAGTACTGGCATAATAGGCATGTGCCACTATGGCTAGTCAAGCCAAATTAACTGGGATGTAGAATTTCCTTTGGTGAGAAAACTTGATAAAAATTATACTGGTTTGTAGCTGGAGAAGTCCACTTATAGGAACAGCTGGAAACTTGAGTTAGAAAGGAATATATAGATCCATAGAACAAGACACAGACAGTGATCACAATTCCAGGCCTGAGTACAAAGAGAAGCGATGAGCATTACAGACTCCCACGGGAGGGGTGTTGAGGGACTGTGAAGATGGTACCAGGGAGAGACTGCCTGGAGCCAGAGTAAGAAAGGGATGCACGTTGGGTGTGATGGTGCATCCCGTAATCTCAGCACTCAGGAGGCTGAGGAGGGAAGACTGTCAGCTCAGGCTGGAGGGTGTAGTGAGACCCCAACTCCAAAAAACTGCAGCACAAAATCGACAAAGGATAGAAAGATGAGCTCGTGGTTGCAGTTCTGGGGGGGATGGTGGTAGTGGGCTTTCAAGGTGGGGTAACTGGCCACTCACACAAGCATGTTTCTCGATCTTCCTCCAGCTCCTGGCCGTTGAAGTGAATACCCCGGAGAAGTTCAGTTCCACAGCAGACATTGTGATCCAGCTTCTGGACACCAATGATAATGTCCCCAAGTTCACCTCTCACTACTACATTGCCAGGATCCCAGAGAACGCTCCAGGGGGCTCCAATGTGGTGGCTGTCACAGTAGGTTGGGGACTGGCTCACTAGGCTCTGATATTTTTGTGTCTGCTTTGTTTTTCAAGACAGGGTTTCTTTTATAGCCTTGGCTGTCCTGGAACTCACAGAGATCCACCTGCCTCTGCCTCCTGAGTGCGGAGATTAAAGGTGTGTGTGACCACTGCCCAGCTGTTAGCTGTGACCTTAACGAGCTCCTTGCCCTCTCTGAGTCACTGATTCTTCACCTAACTCTAGTCTATATTCCCTCACAGTGACGTAGCAGGGGCCACACGAGGAAAGGGTACTGTACCATGGCAGAGTGGGCAGTCTCTTATAACCTGTTCATAAAACAGTATCCCCTTACCCGTGTCCTGTGTTGTACGAGCAAGCATGGAGGCCACTTCCTGCTAGTGACAATAGGGATATGTGTGCAGACCCCAAGCACAGGACCCAAAAGTCCATTCGCTCCCCCTTCACTTGCAAAAGAAGAATAAATGGCTTCCAGGCGCAAACTTTTTTTTTTGGCTCCTGTTTGATACCTCCCTGAAGAAAACTAGGCCACAGAGCAACCTCCAGGCTGCGTCCTCCTGAGCTGGACACACCCCAGGCGCTGCCAGCTTTCCACTGGAAGCTGCCATCAGCTATAGGAAGTGCCGCTTCCCTCACCACAGCGCCTGTGCCATTAGGGGCTTTCTTTTTTTTCCCCCCCAGGCCGTGGATCCAGATACAGGACCGTGGGGCAAAGTTCAGTACTCCATCTATGGGACTGGGTCAGACCTGTGAGTACATTCAGAACAGCAGACAGACCAGTTTACAGGGCTCTGGGTGAAGGGAGTCTCCACTTAAGCAGGAGGGACCAGTAAAAAGATAAGAGCTAGATTACAGAGGTGACCGTCCCAGGGTACAGGGTAGAGAGAGGCAAGGGATGGAAGGGAGCCATGGAGAGCCTGAGGTCGAGATAAGGGACACACTAGTGAGGAGACTGGCAGAGAAGAAGGCTGTGGCCATAGCCTGGAGCATAGGTAGTGACCTCAGAAGGTAGTGAGCAGGGATGGGATGGGGTGGGGGTGACAGGCCAGGAGTAAGGAGGACAGGCTGCAGTTTGGGTTGTTGACCTCTGTAGTCAATGGCTGGATCTGTCTCCTACAGCCAGATCATGAGAATGGGGCAGGAGCCGGTGGGATGCTTGGAGAAGCTGCCCAGTGTCTCACTGAGGACTTTTAGATGAGGTGTGTGTGTGTGTGTGTGTGTGTGTGTGTGTGTGTGTGTGTGTAGGTATGAGCATGCATGTGCAAGTGTACATGGGCACCTGTGCTTTCCCCTCTCTGTGTCTGGTAGATTCTTGATTCACCCATCAACTGGGCTTATCTATACTCAGCCCTGGGCCAGCCTGGATGCGGAGGGCACTTCGAGGTACAACTTTTATGTGAAGGCCGAAGACATGGATGGGAGGTACAGCCTGGCTGAGGTGTTTGTCACTCTGCTGGATGTCAATGACCACTACCCCCAGTTTGTACAGAGCATCCAGGAGAAGACGATGGTGCTGGGAACCCCGGTGAAAATTGAGGTGGGTTTTAGAGGCAGCTGAGCACCCGGATGAGGTCATAAGAATTTAACTTAAAGCCAGGCGGTGGGGGCACACGCCTTTAATCCCAGCACTTTGGAGACAGAGGTAGGCGGATCTCTGTGAGTTCGAGGCCGGGCTGGACCGATAGCCTCCAAAACAATACAGAGAAACCCTGTCTCGTAAAAACCAAAAAAAAAAAAAAAAAAAAAGAATTTAAATAAACGTGCCCTGCTAAGGGCACTAGGCTACGCGACACTATACATAGCTTCTTTTCCAGCCCCGCTAGAAAGTCTCCCTAGGAAAGAAGGTGTCGGCAGTGAAACACCCCAGGCTGGGAGGACTGGAATGCTATGCTTGCCTGAATTCATGCAACTCATCTGCCTGCTGTCAAAGCATGCTTTTCCTCAGCCCACTATCTTCTCAATGCAGAAAAGCCATGCACTCTGAACCCACACAGACACGCTTTGAGTACCAGATAGGCCCCTTCCACCTCATCTCAGACCAGGCACTTGGCATCCAAGCTTTCATCTTGGCATGCATAGTAAGGAGTCACCAGCACCCACTCCAACAACACGAACACTCCAGACACCACTCTGAGAGTGCAGTTATGTAGTACCTGGTAGGGCTTCACATGTGTAACATGAGTTTATAAATGATCCAGAGACTGGTATTGTGGTTCAAGCTTCAAGAGGAGTATCAGAAAAGCAAAGCAGCTTGCCATTAGTTCTTATATCTAGCTCAGGCTTATAGGGTTGATCCACGCACAAGCTCTTCACCAAGTTTCAAACTGCTGCTTCTCCTCAGTGTGGCTGGAGAATGAATGCCTCATCTGAGATCTTGCTTCTGGGTTTTACACTTCCCTAATGTTGGGACTAAAGGTGTGAGCTATAATTCTCTTTTAGACTGATTCACTCTTGTGTAGATCTGGGTGGCCTCGAATTTAGAGATATTTGTCTACCTCTTAATCCTGAGTCCTGAGGATTAAAGGTGTGTACCACCACCTCCTAGCTTCTGACTGCTGGGATTAAAGGTGTGTGCCTGGCTTCTATGGTTTGTGGTTGACTTTGCTTTCTGAATCCTCAGGCAAACTTTAATAAGTCATAAATAATATATACTACAAACATTGATTACAGCTTAGAGTAGCATGCACACACACATTCTCCTTCCCCAACTCTATCTACTCCAAATAGGATCAATAGAATCAGAATCCTTTCCTATCAACCCAGAAAGCCCTACTTTATATACTGATTTAGCCAATGTGTACAGGTATCTTCTTCAAGTGATCTCTCTCTCTCTCTCTCTCTCTCTCTGTCTCTGTCTCTGTCTCTCTCTCTGCCCAGGCTACAGACCAGGATGCAGAGGAGCCAAACAACTTAGTAGACTACTCCATCACCCGTGCAGAGCCAGTCAATGTGTTCGACATTGATGCGCACACGGGAGAGATCTGGCTCAAGAATTCCATCCGTTCCTTGGAGGCCCTACACAACATCACACCCAGTGGGGACTACTCATGGTCCCTACAGGTGCAGGCCAAGGACCGTGGCTCCCCTTCTTTCAGCACAACAGCCTTACTCAAGATCGACATCACCGACACGGAGGTGAGTTCAGTGCTGTGGTCAGGAAGAGCGACAGAGAACAACCTGTGCCAAAGGGTACTGAGAAGTGTCAAGGACTTTCTTTGAAATCAAGCCCACAGGCTTGGGAGTCAAATTGAAATTTTAGCTTCGAGGTGAATTAGTGGTGTGACTCTAGGTTGCCTAAGAATCCATTACCTTTCCTGTGTTCGGAGGCAGAAATAAAAGTTCTCAGCTAAGTGTCTGGCAGGAATTCATCAAATATGAGGTTCCTGGTTCATTTTGGTTTATGTCCTTGTAACCAAAGACAAGCAATATTCTGTTATTTCAAGGAAAGATTCCAGCAAAGCAGGAGTTTGGAATCTGCAGGCAGTTACTGTGGTTCTCAGTTTATTTTGACTGAGGTTCTCAATGGGTGCCTTGAGGAAGGATGTTTAAACCTGTCAAGTTTAGGGAAGCTACTGTTCTCCAGGGGAGGCGAGGGAGCAGTTGAACATAGGGCATGGCTTTCTCTTCCAGACACTGTCCCGAGGCTCCATGGCTGCCTTCCTGATACAGACCAAGGACAATCCCATGAAGGCTGTGGGTGTGTTGGCTGGTGTCATGGCCATTGTCGTGGCCATAACGGTTCTCGTCTCCACTGCCACCTTCTGGCGCAACAAGAAGTCCAACAAGGTCCTGCCTGTGAGGCGCGTGCTCCGCAGAAGGCCCAGCCCTGCACCCCGCACAGTTCGCATAGAGTGGCTCAAATTCAGAAGGGCCAAGGCTGCTAGCAAGTTCATACTAACAGAGGACCCTCCCAATGAGGACTGCAATAACAGCAGGGCAGGAGTCACAGTGCCCCCCAGAGCTCCAGCTCTCCCGCCACCCCCCAAAATGGCCCAACGGACAGTGCCTACTGTCTCTGGATCCCTCACCCCACAGCCACCCCAACCATTACCCAAACCCAAGCCCTCAGGAGGCACCACTCAGTCCTCCCTGGTCTCTGAGCTCAAGCAAAAGTTTGAGAAGAAGAGTCTAGACAACAAGGCTTACTTCTAGAGTGTGTCCCATGAGTCTTCTCTCTCCCCCCTTAGTACTGACCCTCAAGGTCACCTCTATTTTGTACAATGTTGTAACCCCACATACAAGGTTCTACTAAGGGTTTTGGGCAAAAGATTCCTCAGATGGAATGCAGTTGACAAACACAGACACACTACCCAGAACTTTGGCACAGATACAATGCTCTCTGTTCTTCAGAGACTAGACGCTCACAAGGAATCAAGTCTGTGTGTTTCTACTCACCGAACACAGTCCCCATAGTCACTGACATCCTACTGGGACTTTGTCGTCCTTATCTGAGAAATAGCACACAGACCTCAGGTGCCAAGACTGGCAAGAACTCAGATCATGAAGCCTCAGCTAACATCTGTGAATGAAGGTTTGTCCTCACTAAAGCTGAGAGCCAGTGAGCTTTGTGGGCTACAGAAAAGGGACAAATGCCCAGAAAACTCATGGTAACTAGAAGGTTTGTGCCCCAAACCAGTGAACAATAGAATTGGCATCTAGAAAAGACTGTGCTCCTGACATGTAAGTGTAAGGCAAGCTCTTCCAAGAATAAGAGTAGATGTGTCCAGCCTGACTTGAAGAGGTGGTGGATGGATATCAGACCTGAGCTCGGTTTTGATCCAGTTCTCCTCAAATCACATGAGCTTAGAGACACTGTTTAAACTCAATTGTCTTCTTCCTTGTCTGTAAAACAAAGCAAGCAAACCCTAAGCAAACAGAGACTCTGAGGGCTTTGGCCAAGAGCAGAGTAGCATGATTACTAAGTATTTGTCGTAAGCCAGTTCTCTGACTACACTTCATCCAGAAAGTATTAGCACCTTCAGCAACTCCACCAAGTGTCCCCCAGGAGGGATTATGCTGCGACTGGGGACAGCCGCTGCTCTGGAAAGTCACAGTCTGATAATGGCTTTCTCTGATCTCACACAACTTTCCTTCCATCTCACCCCTCATCTTATGGCACTCACAAAGAATCAGAGTCGGAAGTAATATCCAGTCCAAGTCTGTTTTGGCTGACACAGAGAAATGAGTCTCCCAGAATGATTTCCTCCATGCACATAGTGAATCAGTAGCAGGGACCCGTTCTGAGAGTTCCTGGTCCACACCATTTTTCTCTAGTTGGGTCATACATTGTTAGCATGTAAAAATTATGGCAGGAGAGAAATCCTGCAAACTGCCATGGAAGTTCTGTCGTCCTATGAGGAAACTCTTTATGGCAATCTAGATAAGTACACTCTATGAAGCCCTCTAGAATTCCGTGGTTTCTGATGTGATCAGATTGTTTGAACATGCGGTTTTCTTGATGCCCCAGTCTGTGTTTTGAGGTGTTACACAGACGTGTTAGTACGCGGAGTCCTTACCTGGAGGTAGGTCTGCTGCCACTGGCCCACACAGTATTGAGGGATGGACACTAGCAGTCCCTCTGGACATTAAGAGTCCAGTCTGGAAGGCACTATCTCGCCCACATTTCAGAAGAGTGCTGGGCTGGATCATGCTTCCCACCACAGGAAGTTTGACATCCTAGACTATGCATGCAGTCAAACTCTTTCGTAAATGGTAAATAAAATCTACTATTTAAAGGATAAACTTACCTCCTCTTGTATTATGTTTGCTGGCTTTTGGGAACCAATATTCCTGACTCATTCATTCAGTGGGCAATGCTGTTCATTACTTCCATTCTAACACTGAGTGAGACTGCAACATTTTGTCTAAATTGTCAGCCTACAATCTTAATTACAATACCTTTGCAGACCTGGTCTTGTCCTGGATTTAAATTCTATTTTTTCTCAATCTAGACTTGCTTGATCAGGATTGCTTGGATGAAGAAATCGGTATGAAACTTGGGCTAATGACCCCCATAGCAGGATAGTGGGAGCAGGGATCGTAAGGCCTCAAGTGGGCATGACACCAGAAAAAGCAGTTCATCTTTGGGAATATGGTAGTGAAGGTCTCTGGACTGGAAGTTCTGTTCAAAATTGTGGTCCTTAGGAGGAGGGTGGATTTGTGGACAAACTCAGAGACTTGACCCAAGCAGAGCCAGTTTTGGAAATGATCACAGAAGCGGAAAGGGCGCCGAAGCCAGCACGAGCCTACTGACAGAGAGAATAGAGCCAAACAAGACCAGCACAGGAGAAGACCTGTCGGTGGGGTGAGGCCTGCAAGTCCCACAGCATGAGGAAGTGGCAAGCTGAAGGGCAGCCTACTCTAGCACACTGAGATAGACCCAGAACTACAGTCTGGCTTGACAACAGGTCTCCAAGTCAGTACGTAGGAAGGGACAGGAACAGCAACTGGAAATGGCAGTAGGGGCGATTCTAAATGATCTGAAGCTATTTTTCCATCCCTGTGAGCTTGGACTTACGTGTGTGTATGCGGGCACACTGGGGCAGGTACCCATGTACATGAGGAGGTCAGAGGTCACTCTCAGTAATTGGATGTCTCCTTCAATTGCTCTCCATACTGTATATCGAATTAGGGTCTCTCATTCTTACCTGAAGCTTGCCTATTCCACTAGACTAGCTGGCCGGCAAGCTCTAGTGATCTGCCTATCTCTCTGCGCCTACCTGGTATCACAAGCAAGCTCCGCAAGGCCTACCTGGCTTCTTAAAATTTGATTCTGGGGATCAAACTCAGGTCCTCATGCTTGCAAAACAAGCACTTTACTGACCCAGCTATGACCCAGCCCTCTAAGCTCAGACTTTCTAATTTTATGAAATAATGAGGTGCTTTGGCACTTTGACAGTCTTAGGTGTGAGTGCAGGTTTTACTGCTTACGTGTGAATTTGTGCAAAAAGACCAAAGCTGTCTGGGCCTCTCTTTTCTCACCAGTTCAGGGTGCAAAGGCTTGTTGCCGTGAGAGCAGCAAGAGCTAAAATATGCAAACACCTAGTGTCTGCTTAATAGCTACTGAAAGAAGCTCAGTTGCTATTCTTAGCTGTACAGGGGCATTTGAGGATGGCTTGCTGGGGTCCATATGCAAAAGCACACGTCCTGGAGGAAAGGACCTTTGCTTACACCCAAATGGCCCCCAGAGAAGGGAGAGGGGCAGGTGGAAAGAACTGGAGGGAAGCAGATAGGTAACCTACAATCCAGCTGTAACTTGCAGCCTTTCAGTATCCTCACTCCAAGCAAGAACTGACAAAACGTCACCAAGAGAATATGTGGGCCTTTTTGTCTTATAGCTGCTGTCCCCCAGAGCCACGCTGGCAGATGTAGGAAAAGGTGGGATGAGGAAACTCCTGGTTTCTCAAGACCATCAAGGATTATGTCTCCATAAACAAAGGTGCTTTGCTGTTGATGTTTAGTTGTTTAGATAGATCTTACTGTGCTGATCAAGCTAGTCTTGAACTCGTGGGCTCTAATAGTCCTCTTGACTTAGCTTTCCAAGGAGCTGAGACTATAGACTCCATGCTTGTCACAGTGGGAGCTTTGGGAGAATCCAGACTCTGAAAACCTGCCATGGGTGTCAGCATCAGTTGGCAAGCAATTGCTCTGCTCCAACGGCTATCAAGACTCCAGTCATGGGGAAATGGACTGAGATAAGATAGAAGATGCCACATGAGGACTAAGGCTATACCTGGTATATGGAGACATGGAGGTCCCTTTAGGAGGATCAGAAATAACTAAGGTCTGTGGGGGGTTCCAGCATGAGACAACAATGTGGTTTTTTTCTACCTTTAGTGCAATAGTGTCATAGTTAGAGTTTCCATTGTGGCAATGAAATACTATAAATAAAAAGCAAGTTATGGAGGAAAGGGTTTACTTGGTTTACACTTCCGTATTACTGCTCATTATCAAAGGAAGGCGGGACAGGATCTCAAACAGGAAGGAAACTGGAGGCAGGAGCTGATTCAGAGACCATGGAAGGGTGCTGCTTACTAGCTTGATCACCATGGATTACTCAGCCTGCTTCCATATAGACCCCAGGACCACCAGCACAGGGATGACATCACCCACAATGGGCTAGGCCCTTCCCCATCAATCACTTATTAAGAAACTGTCCTACAGGCTTGCATCACATGAAGACATTTTCTTAATTGAGGTTTCTTCCTTAATTCCTCAGATGACTTTAGCTTGTGTCAGTTTAACATGAAACTAAACAGCACAAACACAGAATTTCCATTTAGAAAGGTTTATTTCTTCCATTGGTCTACCTGTCTATTTTTGTGCCAATACCAAGCTGTTTTCAGGACTATAGCTCTATAATAGAGCTTGAGGTCAGGGATGGTGATGCCTCCGGACGTTGCCTTGTTGAACAGGGTTGTTTTGGCTATCCTGGGTCTTTTGTTTTTCCATACAAAATTGATTATTGTTCTTTCAAGGTCTGTGAAGAATTGTGCTGGGATTTTAATGGGGATTGCATTGAATCTGTAGATTGCTTTTGGCAGGATTGCCATTTTTACTACATTGATCCTACCTATCCAAGAGCATGGGAGATCTTTCCATTTTCTGAGGGCTTCTTTAATTTCTTTCTTTAAAGATTCAAAGTTCTTACGATACAGGTCTTTCACTTGTTTGGTTAGCGTTACCCCAAGGTATTTTATGTTGTTCGTGGCAATTGTAAAGGGTGATGTTTCTCTGATTTCTCTTTCAGCCCTTTTATCATCTGTATATAGTAGGGCTACTGATTTTCTTGAGTTGATCTTGTAGCCTGCCACTTTGCTGAAGGTGTTAATCAGCTGTAAGAGTTCCCTGGTAGAGTTCTTTGGGTCATTGATGTAAACTATCATATCGTCTGAAAACAGTGAGAGTTTGACCTCTTCCTTCCCAATTTGTATCCCCTTGATCCCCCTTTGTTGTCTTATGGCAATAGCTAGAACTTCAAGTACCATGTTGAAAAGGTATGGAGAGAGTGGACAGCCTTGTTTTGTTCCTGATTTTAGAGGAATTGCGTTGAGTTTCTGTCCATTTAGTTTGAAAATCCGGGTATTAACCCACACACGTACGAACATCTGATCTTTGACAAAGAAGCTAAAAATATACAATGGAATAAAGAAAGCATCTTCAACAAATGGTGCTGGTATAATTGGAGACTGGCATGTAGAAGAATGCGGATCGACCCATGTTTATCACCATGCACAAAACTTAAGTCCAAATGGATCAAAGACCTCAACATAAATCCAGCCACACTGAACCTCTTAGAAGAGAAAGTGGGTGGTACCCTTGAACGAATTGGTACAGGAGACAGCTTCCTGAACATAACACCAGTTGCACAGACAGTGAGATCAACAATTAATAAATGGGACCTCCTGAAACTGAGAAGCTTCTGTAAGGCAAAGGACACAGTCAGCAAGACAAAAAGGCAGCCCACGGAATGGGAAAAATATTCACTAATCCCACATCTGACAGAGGGTTGATCTCCAAAATTTACAGAGAACTCAAGAAGCAAGTCTCCAAAACAGCAAAGGACACAGTTAAAAAGTGGGCTGCAGAACTAAATAGAGAGTTTTCAATAGAGGAGTCTAAAATGGCTGAGAGGCACTTGAGAAAGTGCTCAACATCATTAGTCATCAGGGAAATGCAAATCAAAACAACTCTGAGATACCATCTCACTCCTGTCAGAATGGCTAAAATCAAAAACACCAATGACAATTTATGCTGGAGAGGATGTGGTGAAAGGGGAACACTCCTCCATTGCTGGTGGGAGTGCCAACTGGTTCAGCCACTTTGGAAATCAGTATGGAGATTCCTCAGAAAAATGGGAATAAACCTACCACAAGACCCAGCAACTCCACTCTTAGGCATATATCCAAAAGATGCCCATTCATACAACAAAGATGTCTGTTCCACTATGTTCATAGCAGCTTTATTTGTAATAGCCAGAACTTGGAAGCAACCTAGATGTCCCTCACCCGAAGAGTGGATAGAGAAAATGTGGTACATCTACACAATGGAGTACTATTCAGCAGAAAAAAATAATGGAATCATGAGATTCGCAGGCAAATGGATGACACTAGAAGAAACCATCCTGAGTGAGGTAATCCTGTCACAAAAAGAGAAACATGGCATGTACTCTCTCATATATGGATTTTAGACATAGATCTGGGGAGTGCCAGCCTACAATCCTATGGCCAGAGAGTCTGGGAAACAGAAACTTCATTTAGTGGCTGATCGAAGAAGAGGCAGACTCCCTTGGTTAAGTACTGAGCTGAACTCAAGAAAGCCAGTAACAGAGAGGGAGGACTGGTGATCAAAGGGATTAAGACTGGGCTGGTTTAACCCCCAGAAACAGCTGACCAGAGGTTAACTCTTGAATCCCAGGCATCAGCCTGGGAATCCAGCATGGGACTGATCAATACCCCCTGAATTTGGGTGTCAGTGAGGAGGCCTAGGGAATCTATTGAGCCTTGGGCAGCCAATCAGTACCCATCCCAAGTATACACATGGACTTTGGACTCCCATAGAACAATGTGAGGTGCACTCTCACCCTGAACTCTTGGGGAAGGGTCTAGGCCCTGTCCTATATGAAATGACAGACTATGGACACCCCCATGGAGGGCCTCACCCTCCCTGGGGGAATGAGGGAATAAGGGGGGTTGGGGGGAGGGCACGGGAGGAGGGGAGGGAATGGGAGAGGGACCTGGAAC